GGTGTAGAGTTTCGAGTCCAGGGAGGGGGTGCGCCCCACACCCTAAACCCTCAAACCCACCCTAAACCCTTATCTACGCGAGTCTAGGAGCCTCGGGTAAAAGGGTTTAGTGTTTATGAGCACGGTCTCGTTGCTCGTCATTGTGCCGACTTTCGCCTTTTTGATGGACATTACAAGAGGAGAAGGTTTTTTGGGATTACCCTAAACCCAAAACCCTAAACCCCAAACCCGAAACCCTAAACCCTAAACCCTAAACCCTAAACCCTAAACCCTAAACCCTAAACCCTAAACCCTAAACCTGGAAAACCTAAACCCTAAGCCTGATGTTTAGGGGTTTCAGGTTTCAGCCTGGCAGGACTGTCCTCGTCGCTGGCAAAGATTTGAGCCTCATGTCTGATAGATCTCTTGGTTTCCACGGGAGTGCAGTTGCACAGCTCTCGCCCTAGCCCCTAGACACCCTGTACACGAGATGCCTCATACCTCAAACACTGGCCCCCCTAAGCCCTAAATCCTGAGCCCAAAGTTAAAACCCTGGACACAACCCCCCCCCCAACCCCGCCGCCCCACCCCACCCAGTTATAGGTAGAGATACTGGGGCCCTAAACTAGATTCGAAGTGCCGTTCTCAGTGCCTTCAGTTGGTAGACCCTAAACCCTACACCCTACACCTATAGACCCTACACCCTCAACAGTATAGCCCTAAACCCTAAACCGAGTATGGGCCCTCTCCCTGCAAACGCTTCAGCTGCCTTGGCTTAGTTCTGGGGTGCGACGGCTTTCTGCCACGGGGGCTGTAAATGCCTACGCCCGGCTTGCGTAGGCATAGTTAGGGTTTGGGGTTGATGGCTCTGGTGCCCCTGTGCAAAACCTCAAGAGATCAAGGTTTAGGGTTTAGGGTTTAGGGTTTAGGGTTTAGGGTTTAGGTTTTCTCTCTCTCTTGCCACTTAGGCCTCTGATACAGCCTGAAAGTGCTGATGTCCCCACTCCACCGGATCTGAGCCGACGCTGGCACCTAAGACGCTCCTTGGCAGCTCAAGGTTTGGACTTGTAAGGTCTACATGCTGACCCCTTTCAATCCCAAAGCCCGAATTAATGGTTGGTAGAAGTGAGCTACGGCATTATAGGTACCTGTACCCTATATATGTATAAACATGTATGACCACATATATAAAATATAAATAAATAAATAAATATACATATATATATATATATGTCTTATATGTGTGTGTATACATGCACCTTAAAGAGGCCCTAGAGTCGAACTGGAAAATGAAGCGTTATTGGGTAGTACTAAGCAAAACGACCATCAGCCACCAAAGGCCCGGCAGCATAGCTTCACATTTTGCCATGTCCTTTTTTTATTCGTCCCGTTTTGCCGTTTTTGTACGACCGTTGCATTTCGGGTTAGCGCCCCCTTCATCGGTAGAGACCGAAGCCCAACAATGTGCTACTATTTGCTTCAGAACGCCCGAAAAAAGTTAAAGCAGATTCTTCCTTGTAAGAGCATTGTAGGAATTTCTGTCTTCTGCTTTTGAGGGGTTCTTAGGCAACTAGTTGTATGTGCTGTTGAAAAATACAAGTACCAGCCCTCGAAACGGGACCTGAATTTCAATTGTGCTCCTCGAACGGGACCCCCCCCCCCCCCACACAAGCACCACACTGTTCAGGGTGTGACCTACTGGTTCGGAATAGAGAATGACGGGATCAGCTGCCTTCTATCCCCCTATGTATACCCTTTAAAAGATGATCGAAGGGTGCCTTGGGGGACTGGGTGCCTTCTATCCCCGTCTATACCCTTTAGAAAAGATGATATAAGGGTACCTCATCCCATGACTAGTGCCAGGATGTTAGGGCTTGGGATTTCGATGGTTTTAATGAGCCCGAGGCCGCCTACAAGCAGTTTTTTTTTTTTTTTTTGGGAGGGGGGGGGGGGAGCTGGAGTTCCTACTTCTTGCCTAAGAACCCCCGAAAAAATAGAAGATGTTCTTCCTTGTGAGGGTAATATAGGGATGATAATCTTTGATTTTGTTGCGGGCTCTTAAGCAAGTTGCAGGTTTAGGTGTTATTGGGTTTAGTGATTTAGGGATTTGGGGGCCGAGCTTAGGGTTTTCAAAGGGTACGCTTTGTTGGGCATTTGTCGGGCTTCCAGCGCCGCATTTAGGGTTTAGGGTTTAAGCTTTAAGGTTTTGGGTTGATAGGGTTGATTGGGTTGATTGGGTTGATTGGGTTGATAGGGTGTGATGGGGTTTAGGGTTTAGGGTTTAGGGTTTAGGGTTTAGGATTTAGGGTTTAGGGTTTAGGGTTTAGGGTTTAGGGTTTAGGGTTTAGGGTTTAGGGTTTAGGGTTTAGGGTTTAGGGTTTAGGGTTTAGGGCAGACAAGGTGCCATGTCCCCACTGCGCAGAAGCCGCTCTACAAGCCTCCTGGATTCTTTGTGAGACGCGGGCCAGCGTAGTCGGCTAGAGTTTAGGGTTTAGGGTTTAGGGTTTAGGGTTTAGGGTTTAGGGTTTAGGGTTTAGGGTTTAGGGTTTAGGGTTTAGGGTTTAGGGTTTAGGCGGGTTGAAAGTTTCTGTGGGCGCTTAAGCCATCCAAGCTACCTGAACACTCTCAAGCCAATCCTTACACCGCGTGTGGGCATTCTTAGAGTTCCGATTGAGTTCGGATCCTCAGATCTGGGCTAATTACCCAAAATTGGCTCAACCCTAAACCCTAGCCCTAAACCCTAAACCCTAAACCACATGGGAGCCAAAGCTGCTCCGATCTCGGGCGAAAACATCCGCCCAGCCGCCACGCAGGAAAAGGGCTTACAGGGTTTATGCGGTTTAGGGTTTAGGGTTTAGGGCTTAGGGCTTAGGGCTTAGGGCTTAGGGCTTAGGGCTTAGGGTTTAGTTTATCTGGCTTCTAGGGTTCTTATGGGGTTCTTAGAGTTTGTAGGATTTACAAGGTTTAATTATAGGGTGTGTGGGTTCATAGGGTTCTTAAAGGTTCTGGTAGGGAATATGCGGCTTGGGGTTTAAAAAAGGCCTTGCGCTTCAGGTTTGGACCAATTTGTTCTGCAGCCTTACTGCGGCATGCGTAGTAGACATCTACCTGACACCACGTTCAGTGATCCATCTTGCGTTCGAGGTCTATGCTCCAGAGCATGATTTTCTCCGCATCCGTTTGGACTTTGTTTAACGCCCTGGGACTAGTTCTTATACCTAACCCTTCGTTTGAGTCCATTTGATGTTGAGGGGTTTAAGGATCAGGGACTGTGAGGAGTATGATGCTGCTTTCTAGTTGGTTTTGTTGCTGGGAGAACGGTTTATGGCGGCGCACAGCGCAGCTCCGCGTGTGGTGTGAAATAGCGAACTGGTCATCTACGAGGGGAAGGACACTGAGTCTTGAGACGCCCCAAACCAAAGAACCCTAAACCATAAACCCTATACCCTAACACCCGAAACCCCAAAAACCCTAAAAACCCTAAACCCTAAACCCTCAAAGCCCTAAACCCTAAAATCCCTAAACCCTAAACCCTAACCCCTAAAAACCCCAAACCCTTAACCCTAAACCCTCTCAATCTCCTCAATGTCGAGCTGCTGAGGCAATCAAGCCATCCGGTCGGTCTCAAGTTCGAGCATCCAAACCGCGTTCCCACATATCTCTGCCCGGCCACAGAAACCTTGCATCTTAAGATTCAATGGCACTTGAAAGCCACAAAACCTAGGGTTTAGGGTTTAGGGTTTAGGGTTTAGGGTTTAGGGTTTAGGGTTTAGGGAGCGAGAGATCCGACGTGCAGCGATGGTCGACGTTCGGCCTGTGGAGGAAGCGGAGTTCCGGGCTACGGAGGAGCTTCTCCGAGAGGATGGGCCGTTGGGGCGTCGGGAAGTGGGCTTGGGGCTTATAGGGTTTAGGGTTTAGGGTTTAGGGTTCAGGGTTCAGGGTTCAGGGTTCAGGGCTCTGGGTTCAGGGTTCAGGGTTCAGAGTTCAGGATTGAGTGTTTAGGGTTGAGGGTTTAGGTCTCAGGGTTTCGGGCTGCCTGGGTGTCAGGAAATGAGGGTTGAGGATTGGGAGGTGCGGGGGGTTAGGGCTGAGAGATCAGCTAGTGCTTTGGAACCGCCCAACAACTAAACGGCAATCATCCCTACATTGCCCTTATAAGGAAGACTTCTGTTATATACATATGTATATATATATACATATGTATATATATATATGTGTATATATATATATATATATATACACTTTGCTTTTTTTGGGGGAGGGGGGTTCTTCAGTCATTGGTACTTAGGGCTCGGGTTCGCCGACTAGAGGTTATGCGGGAGGCATGGCTTCCATGCGTGTGTTGGGATGCCCCTTATACTAACCAGTCCTGAGTAGGGATATTTTTAATAGGGTCTACTAGAATCCCTATAGGGGATACGATAATCCCTATTAGGGACTGTCAGTAGAAGGGGGAAGATCCCAAATCACGTTCGTTTTGTTTTTCAATGTTTTCATGCACCATAAGAGGGAAGCTCGTGCAAATGCTCATGTGTATGACTTGGTAGCCCAGTGGTACCCAAAAAAAGGTTTGGTTCTGGGTTCCCTTAGTAACCCAACCAAACAAAGCGTGCCCTTATTATAATATGGCTTTAAGTTGGTTACTGGTCTACTAAGATGATAGCTTCGAGAAGTGCGTTTCTCGCTCGTGCCTCAGGGCATCCAAGTTTACAGCCGCCCGACCCACCACTCGAGTTTTGGGTTTCGCGTGTGGGGTCTAGGGTTCCGGGTCTTTCGTCTCATCCGAACCTCGATTAAACCTAAATAGCCCACCACGCCAGCTTCACCAAATGCTCATACAAGACCCGCAAATCAAATTCTAGCCATCCGAACGCTTGAAGATTATTCTGGGGATGTCAGATTTATGTTTGGATGTTGAGGTTGCGTTTTCTTCGACTTTTGGCATGTTAATGTCTTAACGTCCTGATCGTTCAAAACACACAAGAGGGTGCTGCACTACTGTGCAACTCCTGGTAAAGAGCATGCTGTTGTGCTCGATCAAGTCTCAGCAACACAGAGGAGTGTGTCTTGTGTTTCGGGTCGCATATAAACGGCATGCGCTTGAAATTATAGTCATTCGAGCTGTCCCACGACTTCCAAAAGTGCTTGTAACCCTAAACCCTAAACCCTAAACCCTAAACCCTAAACCCTGGAGGCATTCTGGAATCATTTTCAGCCCGGGGCCGATGAGCACTTCATCGCCCACACTCTTCGGAAAAGCAAGGACTTGGTAGCCCAGTGGTACCCTTTACCTTTTTTTTGGTTTAGGGTTTAGGGTTTAGGGTTTAGGGTTTAGGGTTTAGGGTTTAGGGTTTAGGGTTTAGGGTTTAGGGTTTAGGGTTTAGGGTTTAGGGTTTAGGGTTTAGGGTTTAGGGTTTAGGGTTTAGGGTACCCTTTACCTTTTTTTTGGGTTATGGTTTCCCTGATAAAATAGCCAACCCCAAAAAAGGGTGCCCTTATCATGATGTGGTTACTGGGCTACCAAGAGGACTACGTGCCTGAGTTGGACCTCGTTGCGGTGTGCGAAGGCAAGATGGTCGGCAGCATTGTGTACTCCAAGTCGAAGATTGACACAAGTGATGGTCGAACCATAGACGATGTGGTGACTTTTGGGCCCTTGGGCGTCTTGCCGGAGTACCGCAACCGTGGCATTGCCGCCAAGTTGGTGCAGGAATCCTTCCGCTTGGCGAAGGACATGGGCTTCCGCGCAGTGATCATCCAAGGACCCCCTGGTTCTTTGTAGGGAACGAAGGAATTAGGGCCCTATATTTACCCTGTAAGGGATCAGATGGGGTACCTCATTCCCTCATCCCTAAACCCTAAACCCCTGAACCCCAATTCCATACTAAGAACCAGCCAGAGGAGATCCTCGTCTTTACGGTCGCCTTGGCTTCCGCTGCGGGGAGAAGTATGACCTGACCAACGCGGAGGGTCAGTTCAGTGCCTTGGAGGGACGAGATGATCCCTAAACTTTGGGGCCATACACCCTACGGTATACTACTATGAGTCCTATTAAGGCATATGAACCATAATCCCTTTTTGGGGAAATTGGGGGCCATACACCCTAATTACGGTATACTACTATGACTCCTATTGGGGTATATGAACTATGATCCCTTTTAGGGAGATTGGGGCCATACACCCTACACTATGCTATGATTCCTAGTAGGGTACATGAACCAGAAACCCTTTTAGGGTTCAGTTGGTCCTCAAGGTGTGTGCCTCATGGCCTACGAGCTGTACGAAGGAGCTTTGAAAGCAGCCGGAGGATGCTTCTCGGAATCGGAGACTCGGCTGGCCCTTTGGGACATTCTATGTTGCCCCTATATTGGGTTTAAGAGGACCATACTTGGCCCCTAAAATCCTCTTAAAAAAAACTCCTGATTACCTATATTGGGTCTAAGCGGAGCATATGCAGGAATATTCTTTTTCAGAGGATTTTAGGGGCCAATCTAGGAGACTCCCTAAACCCTAATTTAACCCTAAGCCCCAAACCCTACTCCCTAAACCTTTAAACCCTAAACCTTGAACCCCAAACCTTCACCCCTAAACCCTAAACCCAAAACCCTAGACCCTAAACCCTAAACCCTAAACACAAGGAGAGCTTTGGGTACAAGGAAGAGGCCCTGGCCGAGTTTGATGCATCTTTCCCTGCGAAGGAGAAGGGCGAATCTGCCTTCCAAAGCGAGTTTGGGGTGCTGATCACGCTCAACTACAAGAAGGATCCCAAGTATGCGGTTTAGGGTTTAGGGTTTAGGGTTTAGGGTTTAGGGTTTAGGGTTTAGGGTTTAGGGTTAGATCCCGTGCCTCGTGGGTTTTATGAATCCTGACTCATGGGCCTCTTTCTTCAAAGAAGCAGCGCCTTGGGCGAGTGTGCAAGAGCTGTTGTACAGACTCACAGCCGAACGATGCCCGGTGGTTTGCCTCTTCATGCACAGAGAGATGGAAGACTCTAAGCGGTGAGCGTGAAGGGCAAAAAATGGGGGGGGGGGGTGTACAGAAGTTGAACTACCCTAAACTCTGAACACTGAAACCCAAAACCCTAAACCCTAAAACCCTGGGACTTGCTGAGGCCGAGCTTCAACTTGACTCTGGTACCTCCAGTTAGTCTGAGGTACGAACCTCGCCTGTGGCCAGGTAGACAATAGGAACTCCTTTACACGCAGGGGCTCCCCAAGCTATAAGTAGCTATAGAGTCAAACAAAGGACCCTAAGCTGGGTTTTCAGGCTCCTAACGTAGCTCATAACTCCCTTAGCTATATTTGCTAAGGGCCCAAGTATTTTCCAACCCTAAACACTAGACTAAACCCTGGCCCCTAGACCCTAAACCCTAAACCCTAACCTCCCATCCCAAACCCCAAATCCCGAAGCCCTAAACCCTAAACCCTAAACCCTAAACCCTAAACCCTAAACCCTAAACCCTAAACCCTAAACCCTAAACCCTAAACCCTAAACCCTAAACCCTAAACCCTAAACCCTACACAACGCCCACACGGTGCCAGCATGCCCCAGGAGACCCCGGGGAGGCCCCAGCAGGCCCCTGGAGGCCCAGCAGGTTCCAGGAAGCTTTCAGCAAGAGCAAAAATCAAAACCCCCACAGTGCAGAGATGCGTTGATCACAAAGGGTTGGAGGGTTGGGGAGCCTGGATACAGCCCTTGAAGTTCTACATGGTTTCGGAGACTAGGTTGCGCGAAAATGATGCTGTGGGCACTTCGAGCAGCCAGTAGCTCCCGTTGCCAAGCCTGCAGAGCAGCTGCTGGTTCAGGATTCGTTCAACTGAGCTGAAGAGCCATTCCGAAGCACTGGCTTCCAGTCATGCCCCCAAGAAGGCCCAGCGCAAGGCACAACTGCAGCTCACAACTGGCATCAGGCTGAAGGTGGCTCAATTGGTGCAGACAGAGCTTAGAGGTTCTTGGGTGTTTAAGGCTTATGGATCGTAGTCTCCTAGGCCTATCATATCCTTAGCCCTTGGCCCCTCGTGCTTTGGGCGACGAGATGCACCGCCCCCCGGCTGACACTTGAACGGTTCATTAGGACAGTAGGCCCTGCTTCTGTTCTTTGGGGCTTAGGTTCCCTGATAAACCCCGCTTAACAAAGTCTACCCTGCTTTATTCCGAGGCTACTTTTGGGCCGAGGGAATCTGAAGGGCAACTCAGTGGATTTAGAAGCTTTCAGATGTACGTAGAGAGAGAGAGAGAGAGAGAGAGAGAGAGAGTTTGTGATGGTCTGGACTGGGGTCTGCGATCGAGGGCTCGCTCCGCTCAACCCTAAACCCTAAACACTAAACCCTAAACCCTAAACCCTAAACCCTAAACCCTAAACCCTAAAAAGAAAGGTAAACCCTGAACCTTTGGCATGATCGTTTTTCCTTGAGCATAAGTATCACCACCTTAACAGTTCAAGCCCCTGCCGTCAAGACCTACCTGCAAACCCATAAACCCCAAAGAAGCCCGGTTTAGGGTTTTAGGGTTTCGGGATTGGGGATTAGGGCTTAGGGTTTAGATGCGCCGCCCTGCGGGTCCATGTACCTCATGATTATATACTTGGGCCCCCAAGTCCCTAGTACAGGGAGGTTCTTTACGGCCCATGTATTCCGTTTTTTAGGCACATGGACCCTTGGGGAAACTCCTGTGCCCTAGGTGGGCTTGTGGGTTATTTTGGATTTTCCTTGTTTGGTGTTGATAAGGGACGCTATATACACATATGTTTTCGAGGGTTTGAAGTGTTCCCATCAGTAGCTTAAAGCTTAAGTCACCCTAAGCAAGACATCAGCATTCGACTTGCAATGACCTTGGAGGGCTGAGTTTGTGTTTTTTGGGGGAAAGCCAATCCTAGTTTCAGGCCAGCCTGATGTCGTCAAATCCCATGCAGCGGGCATGCGGCTTTGCTGAGACCTGTGCTTGGGGTTCAGGGTTTAGTTTCGGGACCCGGCAGGGAAGAACTCTTGTCTCCTCCGTGTGCGGGGGCGCGCAGATGTGTTTCTCATGGCTTTAGGCTAAGACTTTGGGTTCCTGAACTTCAGGGTTTTGGGTTTAGGGTGTCGCGCGCACTAAAAACAGGGACTGTGGTGGCTTGAGGTGTGTTTGAGGGGACCGTACAGACCCGACTCCCTGAACTAAGTCAACGCCGCTTCCACTCCCCGCCCCCCAAAAAACTAAACACTGAATCCCCAAGCCATATCAGCCCCAAGCCCTCCCCAAAACCCGGAACCCTTAATCCCCAAGCTCTGAATCCAGAAAGCCCTACCCCTCAGGGTCCATGTACCTTATTCTTATATACTTAGGCCCCAAAGTCCCTACATAGGAAGTACTTTAAGGCCAAAGGGTTCCCCATTTAGGTACATGGCTTCGTAGGGTACATACACCTCTAGACCTCTAAGCCCCACAACCATAAACTCCAAGCAAGAAGGCCCGCAACCCGACACCCCACCCGAAAGCTCTTAGGGTTTAGGGTTTAGGGTTTAGGGTTTAGGGTTGAGGGTTTAGGGTTTAGGGTTTAGGGTTTAGGGTTTAGGGTTTAGGGTCAACACTATACTTGCAGGTTCACGGATACTTATAACCCAATCCTAGCTGTACTTATACGCCGCTAATAGTCCCCCTAAGTAGGTGACAAGTAGACTTCTCATTGGGGTATAAGTGGGTGGTTGTCAAAATTATGGTGCCTTTTTGGATCCCTATTATTATAATACGGCACCTAATATTTCGGGTACCCCAAAAAGGATCATAATTTTGACAGCCACCCAAGTGATTCGTACCCATGAACCTCAAAGTACTCCCCACCATCAGCCTGGAACCCCAACAATCCTATTCCCCTAACCCCTGAACCCCCTGAAATCTTACGCCCCGCAACCCTAAGCCCCTGAATCCTCAAGCCCCGCAATCCGTAAATCACCCAAATCCCCTAAATCCCTTGAAGCCCCTAAGCTTTCTGACAGCTTTCTGACTCCCCTGAACCCCCTAATTCCTCTAAATCCTCCAACCAACCCCCCCAAAAAACCTTAAATCCCCTAAATCCTCTCAATCCCTCAAAACGCTAAACCCCCAAAACCCGCTACATCCCCTAACCCTAAACCCTAAACCATAAGCCCTCACAGCCCTGACCGCTGGGTTTTTATCCAGGTCCACCCTTAGGCCGCCGGCTTTTTTGGGCTTCAGGGTTTAGGGCTTAGGGTTTAGGGCTTAAGTTTTAGGGTTTAGGGTTCAGGGTTTGGGGGGGGGGGGGGGGTTTAAGATTATTCGGGGGAGGAGGAGTCGTTTTTGTTGAACCGTGCAGGGGCTTTACTGTGTTTTAGGTGTTTTCTTTCAGGTAAACTTTGGGTTTTTTTAAGTTTTATTTTTTTCTAAAGCTTGTGTTTAGTGTTGTGTCTAGGGTCTTTATTAGTCTTGGGGTTTCGGGGGGTATAGTTATAGGGGATTAGGGATATTCAATACTATGGGGTTTTGGCGGGTTTAGGGGTTGTAGATTTGTAGGCTCTGTTTTTTTTGCCGGGGGGAGGGGGGGGGGGGGCGGCGGGGGTAGCTTATGGTGTTAGAGTTTCGAGTGGAGCCAGGGGTTCTTGCCACGATAATCCCTAAATGAAGGGTTTAGGGTTTGGGGTTTAGGGTGTAGGGTTTCCTCATATCTCCAACTACTCACCACAGCTCTATAAAGCACGGCCTTCCAAGCGCCCCCCATCAAAGGCATCAGGCGGGAGTGGGGATATAGGTACCTCTGTACAGCAAACTCCTTGATCAGCAAGTCTTCCATACCTTCTTCACTGCGAACTTCGAACGTGCATAGCCGCCCCGCAAGCCCTTGCCCCTATGAACCACTCCCCCCCCGCCCCTTCCCTACAAGAAATATGTGGAACTAAACCCCTTCCCAAACCTTAAAACCCTAAACCCTAAACCCTAAACCCCTAAACCCCTAAACCCCTAAACCCCTAAACCCCTAAACCCTAAACCCTAAACCCTAAACACGATGACAGGGAGACGAAGCGGACATTAGAAGTGCAGAAGGGCACGAACACCGCGGGTCGCGTCCGGACCTTGGGGCCCATTTGTTGCTTGTGTGAGTTTGTGTAGGGTCTACCCGAAAGGGTTTAGGGTTTAGGGTTTAGGGTTTAGGGTTTAGGGTTTAGGGTTTAGGGTTTAGCGTTTAGGGTTTAGGGTTTAGGGTTTAGGGTTTAGGGTTTAGGGTTTAGGGTTTAGGGTTTAGGGTTTAGGGGTAGGGTTTGGGGTTGAGGGTTGAGGGTTCAGGGTTTAGGGCTTAGGGCTTAGGGTTTAGGAAAGTTCTGGGTTGATTTATTATTTGTTGTGTGTTCTCCTGTGCTGCAGTTGCTTCGTGTAACATTTTGGTGGAGAGATGTTCCAGGGGTAAGTGTAAGAAAGAAAAGCAAACTCCGCCCCTAAGTGTTGTGTTGATACTCGTATAATAAGCTTTGTAGGGCAGTATGAGTGTTCAAGGTCTTTGTTCAGACCTTTGAGAGCTTAAGCGGAGTAAGGGTCTATGTAGCAAACTTTGGGTATCTAGGCGGTGCTGAGAATAAAACCCAAACTCCTATAAACCCTAAACCCTATACGTGTCTACCCCGAACCCCAACCCCAAGCACCAAACCCCCTGCCCCAAACCCACGCCCCAAGCCCCCAGCCCCCGAAGCCCCCGAAGCCCCCGAAGCCCCCCAAGCCCCCGAAGCCCTAAAGCCCCCCAGCCCCCAAGCCCCCAAGCCCTCAAGCCCCCCAGCCCCAAGCCTCAAGCAAGCCC